CAGCTGGTCCAGTTGGTTAACAAAAGTTCCTTAGTGAAAATACTGTATTTAGCTGATAAGAATTATTAGGACATTTAAAAAAGTTAATTAAATCGCTTCTTTCTCTTCTCATTGATAAGGTTGTTAAATTAAGTCTATTTAATATTTCCTCATAAAGAAGCTCTTTATGAGTGTTTAGAAATAAAGAAGAGTTCTTTATGAGGATATTAGTAATAAAGAATATTACCATATTCTTTATTACTAATATCCTCATAAAGAAACTCTGAATATCCTGGAATTAGTCTTGTTGCTCTGTTGTACTCCTTCAATAAGATTAATTTCTTTTTTTAAAAATGGATTCCAAATAGAAGGTGCATATTCTAGATGAGAATGTACTAGCAAAAAATATAACAATTTATGTATATCAGCATTTAAAAATGAAAATGTGTGTCGGATAAGACATAAAATTCAATTTGCTTTAGAAACACATCCAGATATATGATGACCATATTTCAGATTGCTTTTAAACGTGATACCAAGATCATTTACACAATTCACAGTACTCAATTGATAATCAGAAATGTGATATTTATTGATATTTTAATTTAATTTATTACTTGTACTCAATACTCATTTTAATTTAATTTATTACTTGTACTCAATACTCAATTGATAATCAGAACACTCAATACTCAATTGATAATCAGAACACTCAATACTCAATTGATAATCAGAACACTCAATACTCAATTGATAATCAGAAATGTAATATTTATTGATGTTTGTATTTAATTTATTACTTTTATTGACATACATTATTTTACATTTTTCTATATTTAGTTGCATAGTCCAGTCATTGCATTAATTAAAAATAGAATTTATGTCATCCTGTAGATCATTACTACTGTTATCACGGATTATGTGGAAAACTTTGCAATCATCAGCATAGAGCTTGCATTAGTTTATCCATTAGCTTTTTTAGTTTATCCGGAAGATCATTGATATAAATTAAAAACAAAATTGGTCCTAGAACAGAGCCTTGCGGTATACCACTTAAAACACTAAGCCACGTAAAAGCAATGTCTTCAAGAACAACTCTTTGCCTTCTATTTGATAAAAAAGACTCAATCCATTTAAGAATGAATCCTTTTATACTGTACATTTCAATTTTTAATTAAGTTTTCTATGGTGAACTTTGTCAAATGAAGAAAAATCAGTCTTTATAAAAGTCAGTAAAGAGGGATAATCTTGATCCACTGCTAGGTTTACAGGGTTGCCACCAAATCAGGGAAATCAGAGAATTCAGGGAAAATCAGGGAAATTTAGATACAATCAGGGAAAATCAGGAGAAAATGATTGATTTAGGAAAAAATCAGGGAAAATCAGGGAACTTTTTAATTTTTCTTTAATGTTTTGATATTTTTTCTAATAAAAATCTTACTTTTCAAGGGTACCAGGGTTAATGTTTAACATTTTACCAATTTAAGGGTACAGAAATCTCCTCTGTTTTAAATGCAATACAGAATAATTTTTCATTAAACTCATGTAATGAAAATGGCCTACTTTACCAGAAAATGTTCCCTGATAGCAATATTCCTAAATCTTATGAAATGAGTGAAACAAAACTTGGTTATATAATTAATTTTGGTAATGGGCCTTAATTTTACAGACTTTTAACTAAAAATATAAAAAAATCTCCTTATTATACTCTTTCACACGATGAAAGTCTGAACGGTTCTTTTAAAAATGGTCAATTAGATCTAAATATTCAGTTTTGGAACAGCCATCTAAATCATGTTGAATCCAGATTCTTAATTTTTAGGTCACCCTACAGCAAAGAATTTACTGTAGTATTTACAAAGTATGACTCAACTAAGTATAGAAGGTACAAATGTGAACTGTTCCCTTCTTAATCTTCTTGAAATACAGCATGATCAACAAGAGGTACCTAAACTTCTTAACGTTGGAAGTTGTAACCTTCATTTAATACGTTGGAAATAAGAAGATTATAATAAGAACCATTTAATATATGGTTTCAAATCAGGTTTTCAATCTGCTGAATGGAATAAGAAGTTAATGAAAGCATCATACAAACTTTATTTATGATTCTTCGGCTAGAAGAGCTGATTTTGTAACTGTTACTGAATGTGAGAGTTTTCCTTATGCATTTTGCTCCAAACATTGGGTGGTAGATCAAAAAGTTGCAGATAGACTTTGTTTAATTTGGGAGAATGTTAAAAAAACTAACCAAGTATTGGGAGACTTTTCTTAAAAGTAAGCAACCAAAATGAAAGAGCTATGACAAGTGTTCGGGACAGAGTTGTTAACAAGGCCAAAAGTATCAAGACCAAGGCCAAGGCCACACGTTACAAGTCCAAGATCAAGGTCAAAGGTTACAAGGCCAAGGACAAACCGAAGGCCAAGAGTTTAAGGCCAAGTTCAAAATTAAGAGTTTCAAGGCCAACGTCTACGCAAACATTTTTAAGACTAAATACTTTAACTTTTGCCTTGCGTTAAGGCC